CCAGCCATCTGCCAGCGTTCCACTCTCTGTGTCCACGTGTCCACGTTTCTCAGCACCCACTTGGGAATGAGAACATGTGATATTGGACTTTCAGCAGACGGGCTCATTTTACTTCAGATGAGACGTCAGGTTCCATCCATGTTGCTGCAAAAGACATGGCTTTCTTCTTTCTGTGGCTGAAGAGTATTCCACGGTTTGTACGTACCACAGTTTTAATCTGGTTCTGCTGACGAGCACTTGGTTGGTTCCTTGTCTTTGCCGCTGTCGAGTGCTGTGGTAAACACACAGGTGCAGGTCCCTGTGGACGCAGTGGTTTCTTTACCTTTGGGTAGATACCCAGTGGTGGGATTGCTGGATGGAAATCTCCACACTGCTTCCCATAGAGCTTGTACTCATTTGCATTCCCACCAACAGTGTATAAGCCTTTCCTCTCCTCTGCATCCTCAGCAACATCTGTTACTGTCTTTTAACTTATTTTTCATATTTACTAAGTTGCTATTCAGCCCACCCACGGTTTGGCACAGTGAGGCCCATGGCCTATTTTTGTAAATTCTATGAGCTAAGAATGTTTTTTATGTTGTTAAAGTTGTTTAGGAAAAAGAGGACTTTATGTGGCCCAAAAGCCTAAGTGTTCACCATCTGGCCCTTTACCAAGACAGTGGGCTTCCCCACGTGTCCGCTCTCTGGTGCCATCCTCAGTGTCCTGAGCCCTCTGCGGTTGGACGGCAGCAGATGGCTTCTCCCCCTCAATTGATTACCACAAAGATGTACGTGGAATCTGCCCGGGACGGAAATGTCGGGCCACAGAACATGCGTTTGCTTCATGTGCGGAAGAGGGTACAGTGGGCAGGACCTCGGGGTGCCAGGGTCCCTCCCCTCCCAGCACAGCATCGTCGTCTTGTGTTGTTGCAGAGTGGATGGCTGAGAGGCGCCCTGTGTGCGCCCGGCGTCTCGGCCTCTCTCGGTGTCACTTGGGACGTGTCCCTTGTGGCCGCCCTGGGTGTCCTCTGGGCGTTGCCCGTGCGCGGCGTCTGCCTGTGTCTCTGTCGGGGTTGCCGTCCTGTCATCGGCAGGAGCTTTTTGAATCCTTCAGACGTATAGCACTTCTGGCTCAGGCAGGACAGACCTTCCGCTATTTTGTGGCCTCCTGTTGACCTTTTCCTTTGCCTGGCGCCGAACAGGAAGCTTTCATTTGCCGCCACGGTGCTAGGCTTTGGCTTGCGGCTTGTGCTGCTGAGGTTTGAGGAATCGCTGGCCGTGCCCCTTCTGTGTCTCTTCTCTTGAGAGTTCTCCCAGCCATGGCAGCTCTCAAGTGCCAGGAATTCGCCTGTACGGGCGCTGCAGAGTGGGAGTCAGTTTTACTTTTGTCTGTGTTCTGAGCCCAGAGCCCCTGCCACATGTTAGCTGCAAGTGGATTCTGCTTAGCCCATGTGGAGTGTTCCAGCGGTCCGGGCCAGGCTGCCCTCTGGGCAAGACCTGGAAGCCACATATTGCTGAATCTGCCCCACCCAGTTCTGGAGTCCCTCTGGGGACGGCGCCGCAGAGTAGTTATGGGGCCTCAGGAACATTTACTTCCTCAGTGCACAGATGTGGTGGGTACGCGGGAACGTGCCTGCAGGCAGGATTCGTGTTGAAGCGTTGTTAATGTAAAGGTAGGCGTCCTAGTCACCGTGGACGGCCGTAACGGTGCCACCACCTGGGTGGCTTCAACAGCAGGCGTCAGTTTCTCAACGTTCTGGAGGCCGCAGGTCTGAGATGAGGCGCTGGCCCACTCGGCTACTGGCGAGGGCCCTCTTCCTGGCTGGCACATTCTAGCCTCCCTCACAAGGGAGGGATGGGGGGACCCCATTGGACCAGGACTCTGCCGTTATGACCCCATTGCCTCCCAAAGGCCCCATTTTCAAATACAGCCGGTGCGCTGTGTAACCAGCACTAACATGGCATTTCCATTGTCTGGGGTATTAGTAGTCCAGAGATTATTTAAACATGTGAGAGGGCGTGTGTAGGATGCGTGCAAACACCGTATCATTTTATACCTGGGATTGCTCATTGGTGGATTTTCGTACGAGGGGTGGCGGGGTCCTGAACCCGTCCTATGGATACCAAGGGGCAGCGGTGCCATGAGGTGAGGATTAGGTCTTTGTGGGGACTTAATGTTCCTGTCCCCATCAAACCTGTGTTGAATTCCTAGCCCTAAGGTGATGGTGTTAGGGGGCCTTTGGGGAGGTGATTAGGTCAGGTGGGCAGAGCCTCAAAAGTAGAATTACAGACCTTACAAGGTACACCCAGACCAGGCACGGTGGCTCATGCCTGCAATCCCAGCATGGTGGGAGCCTGAGGAGGGCAGATCACCTGAGGTTGGGAGTTCAAGACCAGCCTGGCCAACATGGAGAAACCCCCGTCTCTACTAAAAATAGAAAAATTGGTCGGGCATGGTGGTGGGCGCCTTGAATCCCAGCTGTGCGGGAGGCTGAGGCAGGAGAATTGCTGGATCCTGGGAGGTGGAGGTTGCTGTGAGCCGAGATTGCACCACTGCACTCCAGCCTGGGCAACAACAGTGAGACTTTGTCTC